ACCACCTTTGTGAAAGTTTCCTGAGTCGTCAAGAGGCACCGCGAATCATCCAAAGCAGGAAGAAGACGGCAGAGCAAGGAAAGAAAGTTGTAGGTGAGGTGGCGCCTCAGAAACATTTCTCTGGAACAGAAATCTGAATTGTGTCTGAAAAACACTGGTCCTAGAACATGTGGTACTAGGGATAGAGTAAAAAAGACAAAGTCAAAGCAGCATCTGCAAACAGTGTTCAATATATTTCAGATAAGATAAACTTGCACCTTGACTACTCAAGTTGACTCAGTACCTATACATATGTAGCCTAGTAAAACCCTGCCGTTCGCAGGTTTTTATGCTTTGCTTCGCCCAGACCAGGGGTAGGCAACTCCAGGCCTCGAGAGTCGGTCACCTGCAACTTTTAGATGTGTTTCTGCGTCAACACACCTGAGTCAAATAATGGGGTCATTAGCAGAACTCTGGAGAACTTGACTGCATATAGGAGGTGATTCAGCTATTTGAACCAGTTGTGTTGGACCAGGGAGACATCTAAAAGTTGCAGGAGACTGGCTCTCGAGGCCTGGAATTCCCTACCCCTGCTCTAGGAGGTGTGACCTCTGTTAAAGTTTGAAACGGTCGGATGTGATTTTATGTTTGATGTTTGGCTTATGAGGCAATTGTGAAGGAATCCACGCTATGAAGCTGACCAGAAATTGTTTGTGCTGTAAACAACACTTTGCTAGCATGCTTGCAATAAAATGTCACTCCTCTTACCTGCTCAATATCTGGCCAACATGGATTGAACAGGTTCATTTCCTCCTTGACATTGCTAAAACTACGGGAAACAATTCTAAAACAGAGCATGATTGTTTACAAGTCCTTGCACAATAAGTCATTAAAAAGCATCCAGTACCATCATCCTTCAACTACTTCCTGTCATCTTTCTTCTTTGTGGATTGCAACAGTGGCAACATTGAGTTGTCGATCATGTGACTTGTATGATTTAAAAAAAAAAGGTTTCTGTTGCAGTTTTGCAATATAAATCTCTATTGATACTGTCAAAAAAGTGAATTCTAGCACCAAAATGTTTTGTCGAAAAAAATATTATATTAAAAAATATTTATTGCCATGTTTATGGTTTCTTTTGGGACTCAAACCTCCAGAATGAAGATGAATCTTCCAACATCACTGCTAAAGTAAAAACGCTTCCATACATGCTGCCATCCTAGAATAGAAGACAAGAAACACAAATGATCTGCGACGGGAACAGAGTTACTGCTCTCCTTTTCTAATGGCTGCATGCAGCCTTCCACATAAAGCCAGAGTCAGCAGTGAGGAGAAGCGGCCTTGCAGACCCTAAAGCCATGTTAGGAGTCAGGACAGGGTGTAGGGTGCATGTAGCTATAATCCTCCAATTAATTCTCATTCCCCACAAGTGGAGCACCCCTGAGAGCTGCTTGACACTTCTATTAAAAAGCAAAAATGAAACACAGCATGAAGGTGAAGCAAGAGCGATCTCTTTCTGCAGCCCATCTCCACGGAGAGCAAAGTTTTGCAGCCTTTTGGGCAAACAGTTACATTTTCCTTCCCTTCCCTGCTCAGAAGATAAAGAGTTCTTGTATTTTGAGTTCCGAGAGATGAATGGTACAGAAAGAGATTCAGTTCAGGTTGCACCCTGAATGCATTTGTTGCAGAAGAAATAACACTCCTTGAAGACAGTACAGCAGTGCAACAAAGCAGCGTTTCCATTAACCACAGAATTAACTGTGGTTGCCCAGTTGGTAGCACTGTTGTCTTGCAGCCAGAAGGTCCTGGGTCTTTCTGCACAGAGTTTGCATGTTCTCCCTGTGCATGTGTGGGTTCTCTCTGGGTACTCCAGCTTCCTCCCATAGTCCAAAAACATAAGTAAACATTAGGTAAATTAGTCTTTCTAAATTCTCCCTGTGAGTGTGTGTGTGTGTGCACGGTTGTTTGTCCTGTCTGTCTCTGTGTTGTCCTGTGACATACAGACAGAACAATACAAGACAACACAGGGCAACACAGAGTCTGGACAGACTGGCAACCTGTCCAGGGTGTACCCTGCCTCTTGCCTGGAATGCAGCTGGACATAGGCACCAGCAACTCCCGACCCCGCTGGGAATAATGGATGGATGGATGGATGGATGGATGGATGGATGGATGGATTCACTTATTGGAATTGGAAAGAAAAAAAAGAAACATGGTTTTTCAATCATATTGAAATGCCTGTATTTTGCAAAACTGCAATGTAAACACTGTTTTGCATCCCACCAGTCACATGGTCAACAACTGGATGTCACTACTGAAAGAAACGATGACAAAGTGGACAGGAAGTGGCAGCAGGATGACAGTTTGCTTCTGTTTTTTTTTGTACAATGTGCAGCTGACTCCAGCAGAGCTCTCACAGCATATCCTACAACAAAATAAATTGTTCAACGCATTTATATTCAGACTGTTGAGTCTGAGGTTTATAATAAAATCCCAGGAGGCGCTATTAGTCATTCTCTTAACATATTTACCACACTTATTGATGTATTCATAAAATAGTGAAGAACTACATATTTCATGCACAATGTGTGTGTTGATCCTATGAAATCTCAACTAAATACACTGACACGGTTCTAAAACTTGTACGAACACAAATATGTGTTGGTCCCTCAAACCCACCACCCAGATGCATTACGGCTCAACCATAACGTTGTGAGGTGTGTTGTCCAGAGCAACAATTTCTGCTGCTGTTTGAAGAGATCGAACCCCGTTCTTTCTATAGACGGTCAGACTCCAAACGGAGGAGCCCGGTGGATCAGGGAGGGGTCACCTTCAGAGTTAATCCAATGCTCCCATCATGAAAGAGCAGCTTGAGCCACTGCAGCAGCTCACAGGCTCCGACATATCCAGAGGCTTTTAGTTGCTGCAACAGCTTAACTCAGATCACTCTAACACGCTTCAAGTTAATGCACTATTAAACCTCCAGGTTTTTACTTTATAGTCGGAGAAAAAGAACCTTATCTGATAGAAGACATTGGAAAAAGCTCCACTGTTGTTTGTCACATAAGAAACTGGCTGATTTGTGTGATTAGGACATTATGGGCAGAACTTTATGCCACCAGAAATTGAAAAGAAATTAGTCATATTTGAATTTTAGTTGGTCTGATTGATACAATGATGTAATATGGCTATTATAGATTGGGAAAAAAATACATTTTTGCAAAAAAAAAAAAAAAAAAAAAGAGGCTTTCTAGAAAACACTTGGAAATTTTTAAAATTGAAAAATGTTAAACAAAATCAGTATTTTTTTTAGAAAAAAAAAAAAAGGAAACTCTTGGCTATAATAGTCAACAGATTGCTGGTGAAAACCTGGAAATTTTCAACTTTAGAAACTCAGATGATTCCCAAAAGTTGCACATGGAGCAGATCTGAACTCAAATATTTACCAAAGTTTTTATCATAGTGATGATGATCTATTATTGAAATGCTTCAATTAGCAGCTCAAGTCGACTTTGCTATGGAGGCAGCCTGAATGTACTCAGCATTTATCTTTACAGTAATAAATGTGGAATCTGCTGTGTTTTAGAACATTTGAACTCTAGCTCTGGTAAAAAAGAAAAAAAAAATCGGACAACTTTTCATTAATAAGTTAAAGTCTTAAACTGACAGATGGTGTTCTTTCTTTGCTGTGAACAAACATGGAAATGCCAGGGTGAAAACTCTCCTTCCAAAGCAGGCGGCCCACACTGTGACTCACCTCAGAGTGAATAATTATATTAAAAGAATGTATAGCTGATGCCAACTCATTAGCAGCAGTTCTGCATGGTGGAGAGGGTTCTCAGATAATGAACACTTGATATTCAGCTGTTGATGGTTAAAAGAAAAAAAAATCATGCTGAGAATGAAGAGTAGCAGCTAGAGAGGAAGAGCAAAGCAAGAGCCAGAATAAGAAAATAGCTGTTTAAATTTAAAAGAATAATGAAAACACAAATTGATGTCATAAACACTAAATTAATCTTTATCATGCGTTATATAACAATGACAAAACTGGATTTATTTATTTTGAAAATCTTGTGTGCTAAAATCAAGTGTGCTAATTTAATTTTTAAAGTAGGATTGTGAAATATTCCTGGTAGATTTAAAGGGGCAGTATCATGCTTTTTTCAGTCACATAATGTAATTTCATAATGCAGTCAAGTGACAATATCACCTTCAGTTTTTATAAAAATGCTAAATATATAATGGAGATGGAGATTAGACTTCCCAATAAAACACCTTGAAATTGGACCTCTGTCTCTTTAAGAAGCTCCTGCTCTTTCTAAAGTCCACCTTCAGAAAGTCATCACAACATTGCCATGGAGATTAATTGTTTGTATATTTTTACATATTTCTGTTTTAATGTAAAGCAGGTTTTGAAATGTGCCATAGAAATAAAGTTGATGGATTGATAAAGGATTTCAGAAACATCCAAGAAAGAATCAAGGCAGCACGCCAGGAATGTTTTCAATGATGGAATAACGTTATAACAGGATGTAAAGCTCAAAAAGTAGATCTAACATAATACTGTCCCTTTAAAAAATAGAGAAAAAAATTACATGTTGGTACCGTTTTGCACATAATTAAAAAAAAAACTTTAAATAAGCTAGAACAATTTGTATTTGTTAAAATAAATTGAAATTGGAAAATGACATTTTATGAAATAAGTGTTAACTTCATGGATACTCAAGGAAAAAGATGACTTTAACTTTTTAACTCTTACCAAAGCCATAGCAGCTGTGTACACAGACTTGGCAGGCAGCCAGTGTGGTTCCCTTTCTAATGCAGCCCAGGCCGAGGTTATCCCTGGAGAGGGAGGCAGAACAGGAACAATCAGATCTAGAGCCCCAATTTCAGGGACAGATAATCTGAGTACATACAGATACAAAAGTGTTGCTACATCAGGAAATTAACATCATGCTGCCACATGGTGGTAGTGCAATGCACTGTATGTGTGACCCGACCGAGGGGCGAGGTTCCTTTTATTTATAGGACGCACCAGAACACTGATTAAAACATAATAGTTTATTAAACAATTTCCTTAAAACACTTCTCTTTTTTAAAAACACATTTCAGGCGTACTACTTGGTCCCTGGAAGGGGAAGGGATTCTCTGAAATAAAGACAAATTAAATCATTCCAAAAGAAATAAATGAAACAAAACATGCCATGCAAAAAAAGAAAAGAATAATAAATCCAATAACAAATAAGCACAGACTGCAAACAAACAAAACACTTCAAACAATGGAATAATTGCTGATGTCCGATTTCAGAAGCCGCTCACAACAGGACCGAAGGAGTCACGCCCACATATCCAAAATAGCAGCAGGTTCCGTTCTGAACTGCTCACGCCACACTGACAGGACAAGACAGCAGAGCGTCCAAAGCGCTGCAATGCCCACAGCAATTGGTGCCTAAAACAGGAAATGCATTACTGTGGATCCAGGAAAAGTAAGTAAAATGAAAATGGCAGGTAGCTTACCCAGGAGTGGAAGCACAGTTTCCCGGAGAGGAAGCGGACCAACAAGTGAGGACTAGATGGAAGCCACACGCCGCAACAATCTCCAGCTGCAACCGCCAATGCCACGCCAGCAAACAATGCTGCAGAAACGCACGGCAGGTATAGCACCAGAACCAAACCACAATCCCAGCCAGATGGTACAAATGGCACTTACGATTTCCAGTAAGCCGATCAAAACCACAGGCCACTCAGTCAGCCAGCATGTAGCAGAGGAGACAAAGACACACGCACCTTGCAGCGGCCTGCCTGGCTATAAAGGCACCTGCCCCGCCCACCAATCAACGGTGCACTTCTTGTTGCAGCTGGTATGCAGAGTGAGGAGGGTGAAACACCATCCCACCACAAATGGTTATCATGGACTTCAGTAAATCATCAAAAGAGAAAAATACTTATTTGTAATATTTAACTTTTTAGGTATAAGATGTTTTTCCTTTGGCCAACTGAATGTATGGTAACTGTCATGATGTCAGTGTTATGGGATGTGTTGTGGGGTTTTTTGTTTCATAGTTTTAGTTTTCTGTCTGATGTCAGGTTTTATTTCTTGTCCATATGGATTTAAGGATGTGTTGGTTCTCCAGCCTTGGAGCCTTGATTCTCCTCTGTTAATTTAGCCCATGATTTTCATCTGTGTCTCCTGATTGGATATTCCCCTCACCTGTTTCCTGTAGTATTTAAGTTTGAGTCATGTCGGTCTGTTGCTGGATTCTTGTGTGTGTGTCTCACCTTTGCCTTCTCATGTCTGAAAAGTCAGTAAATAAACTGCGAGGTGCCATGCCGCTGTTCATCGTTTGGTTCGCCTTGACTTCCTAGAACACCTTACCTGGCAGTAGCATGTTAAATAGCTAACTGGCTGTCAGACAAATGATTCAGATATTTTATGTGGGAGTATGACATTCAAGATAATAATAAAAAAAAGAAATAAAATTGCCACATTCATTCCTTAGAAAAAAACCATAATCTCTGTAGTTTGTATAGTTCCAAGTATCTTTCTATTATCATTTTAGCTGGAAAATGTACGTGGGTGGGGGAAAAATCCACACATAATAGCAGAAATCAAAAGTTCAAGAAAAGGTTTCGCAACATGTCTTAGATTTCAGTGACTACAAAAATACCCTTCATGGCTTTAGATCTTGATGATGTAAAATGTGAGTTGTGTGATGTGCTGTTATCAACATTATTGCTTCAGAATATCACTCTTGTCCTGCAGTCTTGTGTTATTTAATTTTCTCACCTGCGTGGTTCTGTAATCTACTGTGGTGGGTTAACTTCAACCCCCCGGTTTGTGAGGGGTACAGAACCCCTTACAGACTGAAAATATTCAGAAAGAAGATGAACCATGAGAATATGAGTTCAAACGCGTTGTGCAGGTACCAACTCAGGAGGGCATGGCACCATCTTGTTGGGCCACAAATACTTTAACTAGGGTTCAGTATGGTGGACTATTTTGAAAAGAGGGAGACATTCAATGTTCAAATGAAAACACTACCAAATGCTAAAAAAACATTCCTCGCTTGTTCTCACATTAAGCAAAGTGAAATCATATTTGAAATCCTATTAAATTGGATACATAAACTGAATTGGAACAGAACTTGACCCACAGTTGAAAAATTCTGCATGATTCAGACAGAAAGAAGTATTGATAATGTATTATAAAAAGATCTGGTGTCAGACGTATGGTAATGCTTTCTTTCTTTTTTTTTTTTTTTTTTTTTTTTTTTTTTTTGCTTTATAGAAGAAAACAGAGAAAGTCAGAAAAATGTAATACTCTGATTTAATGATTGAACCCTTTAAGACCTTAAATGTTATTTAAGGTCTTAAATAAATAAATGTTAATAAATAAATGTCTCTGATTTGGAAAAATAAATAGAAATAAATAAATGTTAAATAAATGTTAAATAAATGTTATTTTCCAGTGCAGGGAGTGCATGTGCACCCGTGTGTGTGTGTGAATTGTGGTGGCTGCACTTTGCACACAGGTCCAGAATGTTTGTGTGTCTCAGATCATTAATCATATCAGTCACTTCCCATAGCGCTGCTTCTGTTGCTGCTGTTCGTTAAACATGCGGGTCACGCTCAGCAACCGACCTTAGTTTGTCTTTTTTTTTTTTTTGCCAACAGCACATAACATTTTAATAAAACCTTTACAGCGGAAAAATATCGTATTGTTGTGCAGCACTTAAAAAAGTATGTTCAGGAAACGGCCTTCTAAATCATTTCTTCTTTCCCCGGTTCCTCTGCACTTCTACCGAAACTGTTGTGCAAGATGCTGTTTCCTCTTTCCGCCCTGCCATTTATAAAGCATGTCTAATCTATGTGTGATCTTCATGTGAAGCAGCAGCTGCAGTAATAACAGCACACTCTTTAAACTTCTGCCTGGCCTTGATTTTTTTCCCAATATGTTGGAGCAAAATGGAAGAAAAGACCTCTCTGCTGAAAGTATTGCTTCCTGCTGAAACGCAGATTCGTCCCTGACAAGAAGATTTTTCTCCTCCTTCTTCTCCCTGTCCTCCAAAAGAAAGAATGGCATAAATGTGAGACCGGGCAGCAATTTGTCACACACAGCACTGAGCAGGGGGGAAGTTTACAGGTGTCGGTAGAGAAAAAAAAAGAGGCACAGACAGGGAGGCAGTTTGGTGTTGTCACAGAGATTCGGAGCCCAGAGGACCACACTACAGGAAAACGTCACATTTTCCTCTGGATTGGGGAGAAAAACAAAGGGTTCCACTTTTTATATAAATAATTGATTTAAGTTCCAGAAGAAACACAAAGAGAAGGATGACAAGTAGAAAACAAAATCTGCACCCCTGTTGCTTCGTAAATCAACATATACAGGCTCTGAAGCCTTTAATTCTCTTATAGATTTCTTTTTTTCTCTCTCTTTCGTCACACTTAAATATTTCAGTTGAAATCGATTTTAAAAGCCATTAAAGCAAATGCAAAGTGTGGTGTTCAAATGATTATTTTTCTTATTAAAGATAAAACACTTCCTAAATCAACCTTAAAAAAGAATACTTTGTTAAATCCTGATATAGCAGCTTTTGATTTCATTTTACTAATCACATCAACAAACTGCAATTTGGGTTTTTTCTGTTTGTTGGACTGATGGCTTCTTCCTGGTTAAGTGGCTTTTTATGATGCCCCCCATTGTCTACCATTGGGGATGAGTCAACTGAGAGATAAAACAATTAAAACATTTTACTGAAACTAATATTTTCACTTCACATTCAAATCTGCCTGATCTTGAAAAATTGAGTATCCACAATCAAAATATTTTGAATAGTTTTTTATTCCTCAGCACAAAACAATCAAATTTAAGTACAAAATCAAAACTTGTTGGCAACTGCCAACAAAATAATGGTCTTTGAAAATACAATAGATGTTTACACACAAAAACACAAGATGCCAAAGTTGTAAATCAAACAATAATAAACAACATATTATAATCCACAGCATTACAAATGTGTAAAAGGTTGAAGTCAATGCTCAATGTTGAAAAGAATCTACAACTATAATCACGAACTACTTACAGATTTAGCCCCAATTCACAACACGTCTCAAAGCGCTTTACAACACGAAACAAAAAGAGTCACCTCAATCAAATCAGAGATTTCAAATATAGACATTCTAAATGAATCCTGGTTACCAAACAGCAAAGTCAAGATCAGTTTAATAAAGAAATCTCTTCACAGTCATTTCAGTCAGATCAACCCAAAACACTAAAAAAGAGAGAAAATCACAAGCTATTTACAGATTCATTTACATCTGTACATTCGGAATGTTAACATTCATCGACTCATACCGGTGCCGGTACAGCAGGTGTAATAGTAAGTGACAGTTTCTGAATCACCTCTTGAGTCATAAGGTTTTAAAAATTGGCATTGATTTGTTCCAGTGAACGTTGACATTTTGTTTTGAGAATGACAAGTCATCGTTGTGCTTTGTCCACGATGATGCCCACTATTTAGGAGTGGAACTGCAACAAGCGTGCCAAAAATAAACATGGAACATGTTTTTATCAAACTATGTATAGAATCCAGTTTGTGTTGGTCAGCAGTTGTTCCTCAATGATTGGCAAGTTGCCTAAAGACAAACTTTACGTTCCTTTTTGTAAAACTCTTGTAGACACAGCTTCTTGGATGGTTATCCTCAAACTAAGATCTTCTGACAAATTTAGGTTAAAACAGACAAATATTTAGAACTGGTCATGATTACATCCACTTTGGCAAATGTTTAGCGACCTCGGAGAGAAGGTAACCTCAGAACAAGATGCTATGGTGTTAGCAGTGTGCTGCTGTTTTCATACACAAAGTTAAAGTTTGGTTTACTCAGATGTCAATACATTCTTCTGAGAGACTTTTAGGTGATTTTTAGGAAGAAAGGGCTTCTTGCTACAACTTAGGGCCCAGTTAACCCAACAGCAAAGTTTTTGGACTGTGGGGGTCAGTTAAAGTACCACGTACCCACACACAGACTGTTTCAGGTCGCCAGTCTGTCGTAGGGCAACGCAGACAGGACAAACACACACTCACACCCAGGGAGAATTTAGAGAGACCAATTAACCAGACAGTCGTGTTTTTTGAACTGTGGGAGGAAACCGGAGTACCCTGAGAGAACCCACCATGCACAGGGAGAACATGTACTGTATAAGCAGAAAGACCATAGGGCTGGAATCGAACCCAGGACCTTCTTGCTGCAAGGCAACAGTGCTACCAATTGCGCCACTGTGTTGCCCGTTTTACACATCACATTACTTTAAATTTCTTTACAGATTACTGCCTTTTTAAGACCATTTTGAATTCACATAATTTATTTTTCTGGAAGTTATGAATGAAAATCTACAGAAGGTCTAGAATTGCAAATTCATTCCAAAACTATATTATTCCAGCCAAGTTTAGTAAACATGTTTTTTTTCTAATACTCATACTCATACTCATTTCAACTAACTAATGCTTTTCTTATACATTCCCATGTTGATTTGTCATCTTATCTGTCTGATGTCTTAATAAGCTCCAGCTTCCCCTCCCGTCACTAACCTCAGTCCCTTTGGTAGATGTGTTATTTCTGCTGATTTCAACAACAGAAATGTACTTCTTCAAGCTTGGGAAACGACTAACCAAAAGATGCCTGAAGTAGTTCTGGAATTTTCTCCCTACGAATGTGTAAAAGATTGGACTGATGCAGAAGTAAAAGTATGCCATGTTGCGGGTGACTTGAACAGCATGACTGAGTTTCTGTTTACCATCACAGGTTGTGAGTTTACCATGCAGGAGCTCTATTATGTTGAAAGGAGTCCAGCAGATAAAAAACAGCAGTACGATGATGAAGATCAGTCTGACTGTCTTGAATTTAGTAGCTATTTTAGATGATATGACTGTGATTGTGATCCTGACGTAACAGTAGATAATAATAGCCAGAGGGAGGATGAGGAAAACAAAAAGCTGAATGTAAAATCCAGCATTTCTCAGCTTTATCACATCTATATTTGGGAGGTGACTGGGATACTCTTCACAATATGTCTTGTTGTCAAAGTGTTTAAACTTGTTCATGATAAGCATTGGCCTGATGCAAGCCAAACCGCTCACCAGCCACACCACCGCACAGGAAATGACTGCGTAACGTCGATTCCTCACATGAGCAGCAGGTAGCGAATACACAACAGCCAGGTGTCGGTCAAAGGTCAGCAGAGTTAAAAAGAAAACTGAGCTGTAGAAGCCCATGTAGTAGGCACTGAAGACAATCTTGCACATAGCTGAGCTGAAAATCCATTCAGAGATCTGCATGTAGACGGCCACAAAAGGAAGGCTGCTCATGAAGATCAGGGAGGACGCCACCAGGTTCAGCAGCAAGATGTTGGTCACAGTGGTCAGCCTCTCGAAGCTGGAAGGAAGTTGAACAGGAGAGAGTTAAATAAGTTTGACTTCTTATGTTTACATTTTTCTGTATTCAGAAGCTAAAGGGAACTCTGAAACAACAAAACAACAAATCCATCATGGGAAGGAGGTAGTTTAGGACAAGGCGTTAAATTAGACAGCGAAAACATCAGACCACACCAACATTCAACTAAGATCCTTCAGAGTTCCAAGGTACAAGATCAGTTAGCATGTAACCCATTTAATACTCTCCCTCCAGAAAAATTTAGAGAATCTATCTATGCCAACAACTGCAGGGACCTTAACACTGAAATTCAAACCAAACAAAACCATTCACATGGAAGCACAGGGTAGGGGGTCGTATGATGGGTTCTTTCAACAGGAAAGGGACAGAAGTTAATGGGAAGCTGCACTGAACTTAGTGAAAACCCCAAAGAAAAAAACCTGTAAAACACTTTAAAGGTCCAGAAACTCTTCTGATGTTTAGATGTTTAACGCTGCAGAATGTGGTTTGGCAGTGTGCATACTCTGTCTGGTTTCATTTCCATGCCACACTTGTTATTAGTTGTTCAGAAAACTGAAAACCACAAATTGTTTTGTTTCCATTTCACAGTTATGCAATCGGTCTATGCAATGCAAAGAAAATGCAAAAAGCTCAAATTTTACAAAAATTTATTTTTAACATGATTATGAAGAGTATATATAGATGTGTGTCCGCATGTGTGTGTGTGTGGGTGTGTGTGTATGGGTGGGTGTGGACAGGTGCATGACTAACCACAATCAAGAGAAATCTCTGTTTCAAAACAAGTTGTACAATTTAACATTTAAAAAAACAAATGTATTTATTGGAAATGCCAATTTCTGAAAAACTAAATTTTTGATTGAAAGTTTGTGCACCAAGTTAAGGTGTGTTTTTTTCTTTTTTCTTTTTTTTTTTCTTGGCTGAATCTAGATTGGTTTATTTTGCAGAAAAGCAGTGATCAACAATCAGATACTGGCATGAACCACAAAGAACAATTGGAGGATGTTGTTTGATGATTCACTCGCATATCTTATGCACTGGAAACACACTGCATCAGAGACAATGAGCTGTTCGACATTAGTGAATGTTAAAGTTTTGCCCACATCTTGAATCGAATTTCCACTGATAACCTACAGCAAACCGTCCCGCTGGATGAACATGTAGCGACATTGTGTTGACTTTGCAGCAATCTCTCATACTGAGCATGCATGTAGCAACAGTGGAAAGGAAAAGCCCCTATTTGGTAGATAGTGAATTGACTTCATAAAGTCTTTTAAAAGTACAAAGTGCTTCACATGATACTCAATCATTCACACATAAGAGGATGTCATTAGAGAATTTAACCAGTGTAGTTTCACTGCTATGTGAAACCAAACCAAGTAGTATGGTTTCACTGCTAAGCTGAGCTGCAAAACCAAGCTGAAAAATAATTTCTGTGCAGACACTGGATTAGAAACTATTTTCTCATGAGTTTTAGATGAGAAAGGAAGAAGACTGAAATCTAAGAGATGGTATTTAAATATGGTCTATGCTGCTGCATTTTTTTGTAAGTGCTTGCAGTTCTTCAAATTTCTGTAACTGAAAGGAGTCGGATAATGTTGGACAGAGTGGCCATTAGGATAACTTGAAAGATTTAAAATGTACTGTATGAATCCTTTTCAGTGCAAAGCACACTGTGTCTTTTTTTTCTCTCTGCTTGGTGTCTGTCATTGTCATTTGAGTTTCCATGAGAACAGAAAATATCCTCACACTCTTCTTCTGGAGGTAGAGCTGTTGAAGAGGCTTGGTGGAGCATTGAAGACTCTTGGGGGTTGAGATAGAAGTCTTCAACCCACCCACTCCTCTCTACCTACCGTACTTCACTCTGTAGGAGTGAAAATAACAAGCTTCCACAGAACCAGAACTTCATCTTATAGTCTCAGTGTTTCTTTTTTTCAGACAGCCTCATTACATCCCCCCACAAGCCTGTCTAAAATGTTCTCGTCTCTTGAGCCACACACACTCTGACCGTTTCAAATGCCAGAATAAAATGCTTATTTTATTTATTTACTTGCATTGAAGGGTGTTTTCTAACTCTTTCCCTTTGCCAATTTGCTGTCCAGTTTTTGGTCAAAGTTCAAAGTGGCAGTTTTTATTTATTTATTTTTTCATTTGCTTCATCTAAAGTTGCAATTTTATAATCTTATTTTTTGTTGTCAGTGGGATCCCTTACTTCCACAGTTCTCTTCATTTCTTTGCCTTCTCATATTTGACAGCTGTGCGTTTACCTGTACAATACCTTGTTTACCTGTACAAGGTATTGTACAGGTAAACATTTAATTCATGTTTACACTATACAAAGTATTCCATAGAATTTCCCAATAGTTTTCAAATACACTGTTTAGAAAAGCCCAACTAGGAAAATGTGCGATAAATTAGCTTACAATATAACAGTATTTCTCGAATAGTGTGGCGCGAGAAGCAGAACTTTATAATTGTCTTTATTCACGTTAACTGATAAACAAAACTCCGGTCACTAGGTGAGAGCAGTGTTCAGGCTAATCAACAGGCTGACTGTTTAAGCCAGTAGAAGTAGCTACACAGCCCTGCTGTAAAGGAGCAGAGGGGGAGAAAATGGAGCGAAGGATACAAGCTCGGACATTTTGAAATATATCTACTGTCATCGAGGAGAGATGGAGAAGTCTGACAGCGAAAAGAAAAATGGCAACAGAGGTCACTTATTCAAGTGCGACGGATTTTTAAAATCATGCTGGGAGTTTTATTTCCAAATAAAAGGATACAGTCATAGTCCTATGAGAATCAAGTCCTATTAGCAGAATTGGTTAAATGTTGCCAGAAGAAAGTCGTTAAATTAAAAAGCTTCAATACAGTGATATGAAACATGAACCACTGAGCAAGTCTTGTTCTTTCTATGAAATAAAAAGTTGTTTGAACAATTGTTTTCAAGTCCTGTGGTTGCTTCTTATGTGCTAAAACAGTTAGTATTTACTCATTACACATCCAGTACCAATTATAACCTTGCAAGACCCTCAGTATTCTACATTTTAGTGCAGTATGGTGAAAAGTTATCATAAAATTGCAACTTTATTCTTGTCCAGCTTAAAACACAAATCAAAAACTCAGAGCCTTGTTTTATACTCCATCATACGTAAGTAAATAGACGAGCCCTATCATTTCATTGTTAATCCAAAAATGTTATCCGTTTTTCTTATCTTTTTAACTGACAAGCTGAAATATTAGCAATGTAGCTGCAAAATTTTCCACAATAAATGTTAAAAACTTCATATTTTGTGAAAACTAAACTGAAGAAGCTGACAAGTAACCAATGCAGTTGTAAAAGGTTTTACGTACTAAATCTAAAAATGCACCTCCCAGTGAATGATTTACACTTTTTCTCTTTCAAACTGAGTTGCCTTCATTAAATGTTACTTCATAAACTGATTTTGTAAGTTATTTTGAGACTTTTGAGGTCGTACAACGCCAATTGTTTGGACAGATAAATTATTAAATATGAACAGATTCGCAACAGTGTTTCAAATCTGGGGAGGGAAAGGTACTGGGTTGGTGTGGAAAAAATATTATGATCGTCCTGGGGAGGAGCATGACGGAAAATAATTGAGAAACACTTTGCTGTAAGCACCATGACACATGCAGTGAAACTGCTGTTCAATTCAGTTTGTCTTTCTCACTGTGTCTGTTCCAATGAAATAACCCTGAGGTATTTAAAACAGGACTTATGTTTTGGAAGAGATAAGACAAGCAGAGGTTTGTGGGTGGCGTCACCACAATATCTAATCTAAGAGACAACCTCAGCTCTTTGTAGTCTTAACAGCCTGTTAAGACTTTATTCGACTTTATTGTGTTTATGTTAACAACCTCTTGACTTCAAACTAGGAAGTGATTGAAACATAGCAAAGGCTTTGTTCTGGCCAAAGAAAACTGCAGATATTCTAGTCTATGGAAATGAGACGATGTTGCTCTACGGAGGTTTTGAGTGGTTCAAGAGAAGTACATCAGTTATCTGATTCATGGACATCAACCGACTGACTAATCCAAAGTTAAATCTGTAATACTTTGGGCAGGTTCAGGGCGTGTGTAGAGATCATGTCAGTGTTGGTGAATGAGTCAATATGGGTGTGTCCGGGCGTCCTGGAGTATCTTCACACAACCCAGAATCTTAAGAGAGAGAGTTATCGCTGTTGATGAGTAATGAAAGTTTCAGGATACGATAGAGACCAAATGCCACAGCTTTCAGTGGAACAATTTGCTGAGAGGACAGGAAGACAGTCATTAGTCATTAGTCAGTAGTCCAAAGTCATACTCATGTTACCTGGAATTTCAAAACCAGAGGCATCGCCCATGTAGAGGTGACCACTAGCTGTGTTTCCATTGACCATAAAATGCACTAAATGGAAACACAGCAATTTTGAAAAAACAAAAATGGAAACACACAACTGCAATTTTTCTTTTTATTTTATATATATATATATATATATATATATATAATATATATATATATATATATATATATATATATATATATATATAATATTAGTGGAATATTGACAACGTTTTGCATAAGTTTGTAATGGAAATTCAGCTAGAATGTCTGCAAAGAGATGACTTGCTCTGTCCTGCATAGATGTGCAAATACAGGTCAGAGTTGTGTCAGGACAATTTGTGTCCATTTTACAACAACATTGCACAAGCTCACAATGTTCTTGAGCATCGGACTGTTCCTGACCCACAGCATGGCTGTGTTGGACCAGCAGCTCTAATCATAACCTGGCCCTGTTACCAGGGAGCTGTAGAAGAATGAGGAATTGTGTTAGACTAAACAGGAATTAACTGGAAGAGCAAACGTTGTGTTAGAATTAACAGGAATTAACTGGAAGAGCAAACGTTGTGGTTTGGTTTTCACACAAACACTTTAACCCCCGTTCCTGTTCTTTTTCTGTGTGACTGTTCTATGAGGCTGACTAAATCTAGCTTTATGGATTTTAGACACATCAGTTTAAATCAAGATTATGTACTGTGAAACTTTTGACATGAGCGTGTAAAAATTTTACACCCTTCATCCCAATATACACACACAGAAAAACCATCAAAATCAACCAGCATGCTTGAAAGACACAACACAGAGGGATAAAAATGTGATGGCAGCTTTAGTAATCTGAGAAGGATTTTAAAATAAATGGTAATTTTTGAAAACCTGATGTAATTAAAGCATGTATAAAAGTAGATTCAATTTTTTTTAAAATCTGTAATTACTTAATTATAATTGATCACATTTTAATCAACAATCATAACAAAATGAGCTACTTTTTTATTTACAAACTTAGACATATGAGCTCAACAACAAAAATATTGTTTTATTTATTAAAAACAATATGTTCTATCCAGTCATCTTTCCAGTATTTGAGGAACTCCTGATCATTCATTCACCTCATTTAGAAATGTGGACTGTGAACACTGACATTAGCATTGGGGCGTCTGCTGCTGCTACATGTTTAGCATTAAGATTATATTCTAGCTTGTTCCTTTTAGCATAATCTGGGGACACCAATCGTCTTTCCCAGTATCCATTCGGATTGTTTTTTTGAAGCAAAAATTGACAGTCGGTGTGGCCAAGGGAATCAATCGTCATTGTTGCAGATGTTGCTTGTGTCACATTTGCAGACATACCAGAAACACAGTACAAATGTTCCAGCTAAGAACATTTCTATGTAAACAAATAAAAATAAAATTAAAAAAGCGTTTAACTGTGCAAAAAAAAATGTACTCGTTAAGATTCAATTGATTAATCTAGATTAACACGTTAAAGTTCCGACCCTATTAAGACATTCACAGAAAATGTGTTCTGTAATAAGTCTTGCTTCAAGTAGCAATAAGCTCTTCTCTGTTATATATTTTCCCTGATTCTCTGAAACAGGGAAATGTTGCTTCACCTGTGCTCAAATTTCTTCAGCTCTGTCAGAAAACTTCACAGAGGGGGAACAGGATAGGTCTTTTTCATAATAAAAAAAAAAGCTTCAGGAAATTTTTATAGCCCACTTTTAAAACAGTGCATAAATATTTTGGTCAGAAGTGGGTAAACGTGCTGTTTTCTGCGTGTGCTTCATTGACAAATTTAAATTTTGGATTTGGATGAACGTAAGTTATTTATTTAAAATCAGTTCGTATCTTATTCCGTAAGATGTCCGACTCGAACTTGGGTTTCATATGCACTTACCGGTAGATGATGATCAGGACCAGCCCGTTGCCAAGGAGACTGAAGGCAAACATGAAGTAGTAGAGGACGGATAGCTGAGCTCCCAGGAGGTTAGAACTGTCATGGTTGCACGGTCTTATTGGTTCACCTGAATAGTTTACATAATCATCATAATACGGTGTCGTTGTCTTTTCCATCTTTCTGTAAATCCTTTCAAAAGCAGAAATATAACACAAATCATTCACAAGGTCATGCTGCAGTAAAGGACTTGGTAGCAATTAAAAATAAATCCAAGCAACTTAAATGCATGATTCATGCATGCTTTTAAGTTGCTTTAATGTATGGATCAAAAGTAGACAATGGAAGAAATAAGATGTCTTACTGTGGCTGAAGAGCACCAACTTTTCACTCTGAACTTCCGTCCCACTACAAACCCAGTGCAAGTTACTCACTTATAAGTCAGCAAGTCAGAGGAAGTTCCGAGAAGTGTGGGTCTTAAACATCTGTGTGTTCTTGTGTGTTGCAACATGTCTCTGTATGCAAAACCAACCACAGCACTGTTGACTTTTTCAAGTCGCCTGCTTTCAGACAGAAACAGTTCACATGTACTGCATGTTAATATCACAGAGTCATCATCAAAAATAAACATCTCTGAAGACTTTCAACCTGACTGCAGAATGAAGAGAAAAACAAAGACAAGAAATTGACTAGAGGCATAAGTCATGCATGGATGGATGGATGGATGGATGGATGGATGGATGGATGGATGGATGGATGGATGGATGGATGGATGGATGGATGGATGGATGGATGGATGGATGGATGGATGGATGGATGGATGGATGGATGGATAGATAGATAGATAGATAGATAGATAGATAGATAGATAGATAGATAGATAGATAGATAGATAGATAGATAGATAGATAGATAGATAGATAGATAGATAGATAGATAGATAGATAGATAGATAGATAGATAGATAGATAGATAGATAGATAGATAGATAGATAGATAGATAGATAGATAGATAGATAGATAGATAGATAGATAGATAGATAGATAGATAGATAGATAGATAGATAGATAGATAGATAGATAGATAGATAGAATGAAAACTGGAAAAATTTCTTACTTTTTTTACACTTTCAGGGTATTGCATAAATATGAGTTTTTGCTTAGTTTTCAGTCCTTTCTCTAGTTCTGTTGCTTTTACTGCTCCCTGAGTCAGGAATGGATGGACTGCATGGGATGGGGAACAAAACACAGGAACACAAATGCAAATCACTACTTAATTTCAATGAAGAAAAATGTATTCAAACCTGAGCAAATCTACCCATATCAGGAGGTAGTAATGGAAACTTGCATTTTGAAGTATACCATTCATCTGGTAAAAAATAATTCCTCATTCCAGCATTCATCACTTCCTTGTGGTTGTGGGAGTCTTTGACAGGGAAGATGCAGAGTTTGCTGAATCAGATTTTCACGTCTGTCAGACATCAAGGTCATGTCCAGCTGACAGCACCCAGCTAATGTGGGAGCGAGACAAAGTGACATTGCCCAACTTCTCCTATTCGCTCCAAAGAAGACTCCCCCATCCTGTGGATTACATTACAATTTACAAATATCCTTATTTTAAATGAGACATAGCAGCAGATCTGCTGATGACAAAGCTACACTCAGTATTTCATAAAACAGGAGGCTCAGTGCATGCAGACAGGAAAACCTTTGAGCGTGATGACGGCAGCCTTTCACCATATTTTTCCAGTAACTCTGCTGCATCATCTACACAGAACATTTACTGTCATGAACTAATGATATCTGCTGCTGTTATCACTGATAAAAAGGCACATGGTCTTTGTCACTAATCAGTTTTTTTATTCGGCAGAATGCCTTGTATCTTGTTGTAATACTGGGAGGAAATATTATTTATTTCGCTGGCATTGCTCTTTGCTAAACCAAACACTGTAAACATCTCTTGAGGTGGAAGTCAAGGTAAGGAATTTGAAAACTGGAATAAAGTACATGGAAGGAATACTCATTTCAGCTGTCTGGATTTGGGATCCAGTTGTTTTGGTCATGATCCAAGGAGGAGCCTGGAGGTGGACAGGAAAATCTAAAGATTTGCTGTTTTTCAAAGACTTGTAATACTGGAGATGAAATCCCAATCTGTTTATCTGTAGCCCCCTTCATTCTACCAACACTTAAACTTCTCCGCTAAACTCAAACCCCGAAAAGAGAAGTCCACCAACAAAACCACATTATTTCTAAAAGCAAAATTATGGCCTGAGTTTCTCACACTACATGGCCTCCAGTCCAAGCTTGACTACATGTTGAGACCGAGGATGAACTCTTTTTTTTTTTTTTATTCACTCAGAGACAGTGTCATCTTTAAGAGTGAGACTGTTAATACCGTAGTCCTGCACTAACCCTGAAAAAGGTTCCTCCTGCTCCAAAAACTTGGCTGCAAGTCTTTTCCAGAACCACAACAGACATATAGACCAGGCAACCAGACTCTATCAGTTCTGCAGTTCCATGAAGATAAAGAACTGGTTCACTGTGCCACGACCAGAAACAAACATACGCTAACTACCCTTTCGAACCTCCCTCCCAATATCCTAAACCAGGGGTGTCAAAATCCAGTCCTCGAGGGCCGGTGTCCTGCAACTTTTAGATGTGCTTCTGATGCACCACACCTGGATAAAATAATTAGGTCATTAGCAAGGCTCTGGAGAGCTTGTCTACACGAGGAGGAGATAATTAAGCCATTTCATTCCTGTGTTTTGTACCTGTGGCACATTGAAAAACTGCAGGACAGCGGCCCTTGAGGACTGGAGTTTGACACCCCTGTCCTAAACTATCCAAGGGTTTATGAGAAGTGTGTTAGTTAGAATACATAACCAACACCCATGTAACCCACTCCATTGACTCTTTGCCACTAGTACATTCTCAGCGCAGCTCGACTCTTCTCTGCACGGTTCATGTCATGTTCTATTACAACTGCTTAATAGCTCCATGTGGTTTCAGTCACCATGGCCCCCAAATCCCCAAGAGTAACACAACATTGCAGAAACACAATGCAACAAGTACAGAAATATCCACACTCAGTCATCAGAGGAGCATAGTGTCATTTTCAGTGAGATCATTTGGAGCTTTAAGGAAAACAACAGTCTCTGTTATGAGTTTTTACACCCAACACGATTCTTGTAAGGAAGTTGCTCTTATGACTCCACTTCCAGAGAATAATCAAGTGGCAGTCTACTGATATATTTTCAGCCCCATTTGGCACTTTTGGAACCGCAACAAAGTAGTTACTGCAATCTCATGCTGTGCTAAGTAAATACAAGTGGAAAAAGAGCCACATGAGTTTTGCAACACCAAAGAAGTCATTAAACATCAGTTTTCAGCGACTGCAGACTTCACAATCCTTTTGGACACCTGACGCGAGTTTATGATTTATTGTATTCTGCAGTTAAACTGTAGACTTATTTAAAAATTGAAGCCTATGAGTTTGTTTGAACTTATTTTGGGTAAATATTTCATGACAAAATATTGCTGAAGGAACTAAAAATGCTTTTTTTTAAGGTCAGGATCACTAGCCCTCTCCTAATTAAGTTAATCCTAAAAAAATATAATAAGTTTTACATCCTAATGTCAGATGGGTAGGATCTGACAAGAAATGACTGTCAGTGTGAACAGTGGAGCATTTGTGAGCGAGATATCAGAGACTGGAGTTGCTCAAAGTTTAGGACGAGTGTCATGGCAACCAAAACATTTCACCGTACAGCGTATCTATACATCATTTAACAGATAAAAATAACACTTCCATGTCAAACTTTTGATTATTATGTTTGGGGTGCGGGGGTTGCAGAGAGAAGTTGGATGTTCAGGAAGTTGCAGAGTGTCAGGAAGTGGAGTTGAAATAGATAAGAAGTAATGAGCAGTCAGTCTCCTCTGTCACAAACAGGCTGACATTACTATGGCAGCACAGAAATGCTCAACTGGAGCAAAGAAAAGGAGCAAGTATGTTTGATATTGTTTTGAATGACATTAGTTTATAAAAAATTAAGGGCATACATTAAATGTTTAGCTCTTTATTTAGGAGTTTCTAATCTTCTCTATTGTATCTGTAGCCAACAGTTAACCAAGCCACTGTGACCTCAGCATACAACCACAAACCAACCTGAATGTTTGGACTTTCAACTGGACAGTCCTCCTTAAAAGATGCATAATGATGATGTTCTAATGTTTTCACCAGATCTTATAGCTTTATGGACATTATTATCAACTTTTAGTAGCAATAAAAGTGGGGCTGCACTTCCCTTTTTTCCTGAACTAATATTGCTTTAAAAATGTGTGACCCGACCGAGGGGCGAGGTTCCTTTTATTTATAGGACGCACCAGAACACTGATTAAAATATAATAGTTTATTAAACAATTTCTTTAAAACACTTCTCTTTTTTTAAAAACACATTTCAGGCATACTACTTGGTCCCTGGAAGGGGAAGGGATTCTCTGAAATAAAGACAAATTAAATCATTCCAAAATAAATAAATGAACAAACAAAACATGCCATGCAAAAAAAAGAACAAAAGAATAATAAATCCAATAACAAATAAGCACGGACTGCAAACAAACAAAACACTTCAAACAATGGAATAATTGCTGATGTCCGATTTCAGAAGCCGCTCACAACAGGGCCGAAGGAGTCACGCCCACATATCCAAATAGCAGCAGGTTCCGTTCTGAACTGCTCACGCCACACTGACAGGACAAGACAGCAGAGCGTCCAAAGCGCTGCAATGCCCACAGCAATTGGTGCCCAGGAGTGGAAGCACAGTTTCCCGGAGAGGAAGCGGACCAACAAGTGAGGACTAGATGGAAGCCACACGCCGCAACAATCTCCAGCTGCAACCGCCAATGCCACGCCAGCAAACAATGGATTTCCAGTAAGCCGATCAAAACCACAGGCCACTCAGTCAGCCAGCATGTAGCAGAGGAGACAAAGACACACGCACCTTGCAGCGGCCTGCCTGGCTATAAAGGCACCTGCCCCGCCCACCAATCAACGGTGCACTTCTTGTTGCACCTGGTATGCAGAGTGAGGAGGGTGAAACACCATCCCACCACAAATGCATTTTTAGTTTTTTGATTTTATTAATTGATTTTGTTTATTATATATAAATATCTATGTGTAGGAAAAACACATCGGGCTTACCCTAACCCTAACAACTGGCTGTTGGAAGGGATCCAAATCAATTCATTTTTAAGTGACTTCATTAGATTTGAGCTGAAATCAAAGAGTTCATCTTCATTTTTGTCAGCATCATTGGCAGGACAAAAGAACCTCAGCATGATGCAGCCACCACTGTGCCTGTCAGTGTTTGAAAGCTTCTGCTGTCAAGATCCTGAATTGTTTGAGTTTTTAGTCTTTTCATTTTTGATCACCTGTTTATGTGCATACTGCCTCTCTTGTTTCATTATATATCAGGGATTTTTTTCAATCTGATTTTG